GCAGTGTACTTCATCGATCTGCCTGTTCTGCTCCCCACTCTGTCTCTGGTGAAGCCTCTCGCCGCCCCTGAGCCTCTGGCCTGTACCCTAGTTCTGTATGCACAAATAAATAAATCTTTAAAAAAAAAAAAAAAAAAACTTACCTATTTTTAAGTTTCAATGTGGTAAATAACATTAGCTAGAAAATACATCAAAAGCTCTTCGGGTTCCTCAGATTAAGTTTAAGAACTGCAGCCAACCCTACTAAAACTTCCGAGATTATTTATTATTGTACAACTATTACAAACAGGGTATCTGTTGATCATTAATAAATTAGCTCAAGTATCAAAACCACTCAAGAATCATACTACGGCAGTAGATATTAGGCTTGCGCAATACTCGAGTGCTTTAAATATATACTATATAATAATGAAAACTACAAGGCTTCCATTGAAAAGTGTTCCAGTAAGAGTGGAAGTTTATCAAACTACAAACATGAACTAAAGGGGAAAAAGAGACTGCATATATGTAAGCAAAACTTGGTATTGCCTTTTAAAAATTTGTCAGAACTGTCCAGCATGCCTGCTTGTGAAAATATTGGTGCAAGTACTTTATTTCTACATATGTTACTGTTAAGCATTCCATTGTTTTGTTTTGTTTTTTTAATGTGCAACCTTTCAATGTCTGGAAAACAACAGGAATTTTAAAAAGAAAAAACAGAAACAAGAAACCCCAGGTAGGTAAATTAGTGGCTAACTTCCTCTTCCGAAAACCAGTTTATATAAGCTCTGCGAAATGAGATATGACTTTTCAAAAAAGGAATGATTTACTCAAGGTGTTCCTGATGCCTCACCTGGCTTCAGTGGTTTTACATGTTTGATACCAGGAACTGTTGCTGGACACATTTCTTCTCTCCAACATTTCATACAGAAAATATTTCTTACAGTTTAGAGATTTGAAATAAATATGTGAAGGCTTGCACATTATACTTTTCTAAGGGGTATGAGTGATTTTCTTTATTACAATTCACAAAAATATCGCAACAGCTTTTTACACATGTACACATACAGTCACATGCAGATGTTTAACCTGTTTGATGCAGAAGAAAAAAATGTCTCTGGACTGTAAACATAATTAAAATTCTTAAAATGAGATATTTAACAATGAGACATTACTTAAGGAATATATTCATAAAAAGTGATGCATACCTTCAACATTTTAATTAAAAGTGGGTATGTAACTTCATCCATCAATTATTTGCTATAGGTCCCAGACTTCAAGAATCTGTTGATTCCGGTCCTTCCTGGTTGTCTTCTTGCTAACCACATTTCACCTTGACTACATCATCATCAAAGATTTTTGAGAAAACTCAAATTATGTACAAATTCTGTACATTTTTATGACTTTCCTGCCAAGTTTTGTGATTTGTACCTAATTAAACAACTCACCTTTATCAGGTATTCCCAAAGCAGTTATTTCATTTTCAAACAAACAATACTTTAAGCCACATTTTATGTTTACACATTTAAGTCTCATACTAAAATACAACTGGAATAAACAAGCTTATGGAAGCATAAGTGACTTTTAGTAAGCATACAAACATGGGTGAACTAGAACACAGCAAGATTCAAGCCCTAATGGTGCTCTCAAAACTAGGTGCTTTACAGAAGAAACCAAATTATTACAAGCCAAGCAGAAATAAGCTAAATATATTTCTTGGAGATAATCACTGTAACATTAGCATGCAATATTATGTTGAAGATATATTTGTAAACTTTATACCTCAAGATATAATCTTCCTTTTGAATATATACTATCTTAAGTCAATTACCTATACCCTAGAGAATTGCACTGATAAATATGAAGGTAACATACACATTAATTTTTCCACTTTGGTTACTAAATGTTCATAATGAAAGTCCTTACAATTCATTTACAGACTTATATGGCATTAATATCAAAGGGCATTTATAAGAAACAAACCACAAAAAAAAAAAAAGATCCGGTTCTAATTTTTGTCTTTGGTTTTCTATTTTTTAATGGATTATTCTTCTATATTTGCTTTCCATTTAGTCTAATTTGCCTTTGGTTGGTTCTGCCATCTGCTCTGCTCTTCTCTAGCAGATAAACTATGTTGTCATGGAAATCAAAAGTTGCAAAAACAAAGGGAAATGATCATTTTACTAAGGCTTTATTCAGGCATATTGTTGTTCTCAGGATCTTGATGATCTGACAGTAAGAACAAAAAGTAACCAAGCAAGTAACCAACCTTCTATCTGTAAATTACATCTAAGCAGTAAGGGTTACCCTAAAAAAATCTCCGATGGCAATTAATGACTTGTAAATTTTCCATAAGAAAAAGTTTTCACAAACCCAGGGATTGTCCTATAGACTTCATAATTGCTTCTTTCAATCCTTCTGAAATATAGGATCCATTGTCATTCTTCTACTTTTATTCTTTTAATCAATAAGGAAATCTAGGCTTGGAATAGTTTAATGGGTCCAGGATTCCAGAACAGGTCTGTTAGCTTCCAAAACTCTTCCTAGAATATTATGCAGCAGTTTCAGAAATGTTTCAAAAGAATTCCATCAAAAAAAGTGGTCAAGTTATTTAAATCACCTGCTCATTTTTAAAGGACAAACCATTCAAACCATAAAATACCATTTAACTCCTATGTCAGGTTTTACAAGCCAGCCAAACTTGAGTAACTATCCATTCTTGCCTGTATACATTAGATCAAAAATGCCCAAAATTGCCTTCAGTCTCTACTGAAGTCATAGGTTCACTGCATGTTCAATTGGAATTCAAGGACTAAGTATAAGTCTCCAATATACAAACTGTTCTATTAAAAAATGAGGACAAGAGGGGGAAGTCTAATTACAAAATGTTAAAAGGAAACTATTGATAAAACTAGGCCGTTGGGTTTAGGTCCAGGATTATTGAAACAGATCTCTGTATTTTTTAAAACCGCGAGAGTAGGGCCCTCGGTGGAACAGCAGGTTAAAGCACAGCACTAAGAAGCTAAAGCCACTTCAGTGTAAGCTCAATCCCCACTCCAGAGGTGACCCACATGATGCGGCCGACCTCTCCTAACCCACCTGCTGCTCCCCTCAAGAGTGTACTTTGTCAGTCGGCCTGTTCTGCTTCCCACTCTCTCCCTCTCACTACACCTGCACCTCTGGCCTGTACTCCAGTTCTGTGTGCATAAATAAATCTTAAAAAAAAAAAAAAAAGAAAGAAAAAACTGCAAGAGTAAGGGGGCAACGTAATAGTCCACCAAAGCTTGGCTGCAACTTCCTTCCAAAAAGTATAGTATGGGAAAAGAAAAAGTTACAATAGTAAACCTTAACACTCTCAGTCAAGCAATCAAGATATGTATCCTTGATATGTAATGGAAATGCACTTTACCCCTTGGTCTTACTCCCCCAAATCTCATGATCCCCATGTAATCATAGTGAAAACACTAAATTGAAAAGCAGCAGCAGTACTCTTAAAACTGTCAAAGTCATCAAAAACAAGTCAGAGAAGCCATCATAGCCAAGAGGAAGCTAAGAAAACAACTAAAATAATGTGGTATCCCTATGGCATTCTGGATCAAAAAAAAAAGCACTAGGCCAAAGCTAGTAATACCTGAAAGTATAATTAGTAATATACTAATCTTGGTTCATTAATTGTAATAAATGTACCATACTAAATTCTAGTAATAAGGAAGCAGGGTGCAAGGTGTTTAGGAACTGTACTCTGCAATTTTTCTGTAACACTGCTCCTATAATAAAATACATTTTAAATAAAAATGCAAGAATCACATAAAAGGACCCAGTGACAAAAATTACTTTGGATTTCTTGGGATACATTCTCTCTTTTTTTTTTTAATGAACACTGGACAAGATAGGGACTATGGTATACCATTTGAGTTCAAAATTTGCTCGAGAAGTAGTTATGTTAGATTCAATGAATGAGTTCTTCATTATGTATACTCTAACAAGAACAAAGAATGGCTACTTAAAAACGTTATTAGTGGGCATTCCCGGTGGTGCAGGGGTTAAAAACACTATTAAGCTATTGTTAGCCACTGCAATGTGAGTTCAATTCCTGGCCAAGGAACTGACCCACCATGGCACAGCAGACCTCTCCTGCCTTGCTGCCCACTGCTCCCCTCAGAGGTGTATTTCAATAGATCTGTCTGTTCTGTCCCCACTGTGTCTCTGGTGAATTCTCTCATCCCCCGCACCTCTGGCCTACACTCCAGCGCTTGTATATGTAAGTCTTCAAAATATATATATGGGTTTCACAACTTATTTTCCAAAGAACATTCATTGTCAGAATAACTCAAAACCTACAAAGCTATTAAATCTTAATATTTTTGAACTTAAAAAGCATCTCTGACACAGTGTAGAACTGATTTTATTAAAATTTGTACTACCAAGGGAAATCACTTGTTCAATGTAAATAAATCTTCAATTATAAAATAACTGGAAATCTGTTCTTTCAATTCCCAATGCTAAGATCATCTCCTATACATTAATTTTCTTCTGGTTATGTAGGAAAAATGTGTAGAAAAAATCCTGTAATAAAGTGATACGTAATACCTAAGTCTCTGTATTCTATGTAGGAGGGGTAAAGAGTGGCAATAAAGGGTATAGGACCAGTAAGTGTTATGACCTCTGCATTTTCCCTGGACATTATGTTTTATAAAGACAATTAATTTACATTTTGTATGGACAAAATTATGGATTTAGTGCACTATTTCTAAATATTGTACTTAAACTGCCACTACATGAGTGATACCTGCTTTTCACTATTCCACCAAGAGAAACGAGTAAAAAACACACATCAAGATAATTCAATGGCAAGTTTTGTGTTCTGAAAGAAAACCTTGTCTGGCCAATGAAAACACATAAAACAATATATTCGTACTTAAAAAATGTCAACCGAGAAATCCAGAATACAGTAGACAAAATTTGTATTTGCTAACAGGCAATACTATTTATAAAGATAAAATGGAAAGAACACAAAAATATGAGTGAACAATTTTTATTGAAACCCTCAAAGATTAAAGAGGACCAAATGGTGAGTTTGGGTACCATAAACAGAAAATCTCACCTAACTGTACCATCATTCACAGGAATGAACAAACCCAAACACGACAAAATTCAAAATTCAAATGCTCATGTAATTGCTACAGTGAATGTAAATGAACTAATCATTTTCATAACCTTCCTTTAATCATATGAAAAAGAAGGGAATTCACATGGCATAACAAAAGATATGCAAAACTTAATGAAAACACAATTCTCTTAAATTTTTCAAACTTATTTTTATAGGATGCAGAATGCACTTGAAATGATTAAATGATTTAAGCTGATTCTTTTTTATTGCAAACTGTTTTAATATCAGCTTAACCCCCATGCATGGTATTCAAAAAGAACACAGCTTCTGAATTAAAAAGATCATTTAAGTTAAAATGAGGAATTAATTAAGAATTAAAATTAGGAAAACTGGGGTTTCTTTTAAAAGCAATCTTCAAGTACCAATATGAATAGAGAAAGAATACTAATTTTGGTTACATTTCCCCCTTTACTGTTAAATATACAAACTCTAATACCTTTCAAAATAAAATATCCACATAACTTTAAAAGAAACATTCAAACCAGATCTTGGATAAACATTAAGCAAGAGATTTGCTGGACCAATAATGTCTTAATTAGCAATTATTCAAATATCTGAAGAAGGATCTCCTGCTGTAGAGCCCAAGTTCTCTCCCTTTTGGTCCCTACAGTTAAGAAACATTCAGTTAGTTGTGCTATTGAGACAACCTGTGATAATTTCACTTAGGAAAAATATTTTGCAATACACTGACAGACCAAGGAGGAAGAGAAGGTAGGTGCTCTGAAGAAAATGTAAATGTGAAAACAAAATTAATTGAAAAAGAAAAACTTTTTCTTTTCCAAAGGAATGCTGCACCCATTTCACTTATTAGAAATCCAGGATAAAGGCACTGGGATGCACACCTCACCACAAATAGGCTACTCAATTACCTTTGACATTTCTGCTATTGCAATCAGTCTGCTTGCTGAATATTTCTGTGATACTTCTTATATAGAAACCTAATGTAAATTAAATATTAAGTTTGAATCAGTTTTTAATGTAACTAGTTTTATAAAAATATTCAGAGTTGCTAATAAAGCACCAAGAAAAAGAACCTCAGAGAAGAGGACTCAAATCCTTTCTACAAGGTCACCCCTTTACAGTTTTCTCTAATACGCTCATGTCATCTCTGACACGTCCTACCTATATAATCATAAAGATGCAGAACATTGCTGTGGTGACTATATCCAAATGCCAATTTTCATTATAAATAGTAAGAGACATTGTACAACATTTCATGGCTTACTCTGGAAAAGATAAAATAGGTGCAATTTTCCTTTAAGAAAGTCTTTATTTTGTAATATACCATTATATTTTGATGTTCCCTTCAGTAAACACTGATAAAACTACACTGGGACTACCAAAGAACTGTGAAGTAGCTACGATTATTTACAAATACTGTATTTTTTCACTTGAATACAGTATTTGTACATTTTAAGAAAACATAGTATAAAAAAAAATCATATAAATGAAAATCTCAATGAAATACCTGTCACTAACTTTTTGAACTGAAGTGACCAAAGACCATAGGAAATGAAACATTTCTAAACATGATGTAAACATAAATGGAGTAATGCAAAAACATCAAGGTATTCAAATCTACTATATTGCTATTTTCACCCTTAACATACCTTTCTACATAGTTTTCTCCTTTTGGAACAGTAATATAAGGGGCAGTACATTATCTTCATAACCTTATGCCATCAAATCAATTAATACAGATGCTTGACACACTTATACAAAATCAATTTGAAGATACAAAATTAATGTTGATATGTAGTTAATTAATGAAAAAAAATAAGATGTTAAAAAGATAACTATAAGAATATCCAGATATATGCTGTATTCCCATTTATATAGATCTGATCAATAAAACATCAACACATTCACTTAGATACTGATTTAATCCATGGATCAAGGCCATATTTCAAAGTATTTTAAGGATGCCAGGACACTGCAAAAGCTGGAGAAAAGAGTGAGGAACAGTATATGCTTGCTAAACAAGAACTATGTTTATTTAGCTAGTGAATACCTAGAGTAATAAATTTTTACTTCATGATAGCAATCAGGCTCGCAAACACCCAGAAATAGGAATTAAGGGTTTTAAATGTAGTTATAAAGGTCATAAAAAGTCTGATTAGACTGAGGTACATTTACTCAAAATTTTGAGATTCATTAAGTGGTAGCAAACAAAATAATTCCTCAGACAAATGCACATTTTTCAGTATACATATTATTGGGGGAAGGAGGAAAGAATGTGCATTAACTGGTGAAATTCACCAAGCTGCATATCAATATTCTGTTACACCAAACAGTTTGAAGACAAGGGAAATGTTCTAATATAATTTCAGATTATGTTTCATTTGGCTAAAATAGAGCTTAAGGTTGCTTTGCCATATTAAAAGTTTACTACAAGAATTTTTCACATAAACATTTAGACTTCAACTCCAGGACTAAATATGGCATGATTATTTTGCTTTTAATCTGTCAAGTAGCTAAAAATTGACAATTTAAAAACTACAACAAAGAAAAAGTTGAAGCAGTGTGACTCTTACATCATTGAACCACTTCTAATGGTTAACTGTTAGTATTTAACAAATTCAAAGAGTTAATGAATCCTTGCATTCATTCAGTCTTCTGTGCCTTAGCTAGGATGCATAATTACAAAAGACAGCAGATACTGGTAAAAGCTTCAGGACAGAAAGTGCTTGACGAAGTTACAGTTCTCAAGTGTGTTTGGTGAGAATATAAGGGCAGATGCGCTGATGAAAACCATTACAAGAGTCAATTCTGTGTTAGACAGTTCAAAGATGTCACCTTAAGCAGAAAAAAAGCTTTAATAACGTCTTCTTTGACTTATTAGGCATTTCCAGAGTCTACATCATTAGTGTTGTAATTCTAACAGGACATCTTCATATGGTTATTGTTTGTTCCTATTTCTCTCCTGAAAGACAAAGAAGTTGAACAAAACATCATCATTAAAGTTTTAAACTATATGCAAAAACATAAACTATTCTCCATAAAAAGTTCTTCAAATATTAATTCAAGTAATTAGCTTACAGCATTTTATTATTACCTATCTGTTCTACCCATAGTGGGATAATTACCACAGAATACTTTAAAGAACTCCAAAAACGAAGACATGTTTCAGGAGAGTAGAAGCCCTCTCCACAGATCTGTTGTCCCATATGATTCTGCCTAACGTCAGTATATTAAAATACTGCCTTGCAAAAAAAAAACAAAAAACAAAAAACAACTGCCTTGCAAGCTGTTTCAATGAATTTTTGATGGTAAGCTATTAAATAAACTACAAAGCTTCTGTAACTGCAAACAGGCTGAGGTAGCGTCAGGAGAAAAAGAATGCATTATATTAAAATTCCAGTGTTAGAAATATATTAAGCCAAATTACCCCAGAATCATGCTTAAATGATCTGTTAACTTTCACAAGAAACATTAAGATTTACTAATTCCTACTAAGAAAACTCATTGAAGATAAAGGGTGGCCAACACTGTACCTGCCTATCAAGTAAATTCATCATGTAGTTTGTACCATCTTGTTCTAATGGGTAATTCAATAGTTCCTCAAACTTGAGCAAGCTTTAGCATCATCAGGATGGCTATGGAAATAGAGACATGGCCTCAAATGACTGCAGAACCTATGAGTCTGCATTTCTAGCAAGTTCACAGGTGATCCTGTTACTGTCAGGTCCAGCAACAACACTTAGAAAAGCATTTGGTGTATAACACATTATAAAGCCCCAACTTTTTTAACTACTCCTATCTAATTTCTCCACATCCAACAATAAATATGAATATACTTTTCCATCTTCTGTGACAGCATCAGAAAATTTTATTTAAAATTCCAAACAGAATTTGCTGGAATTGGAAGCAAGCTAAGTACCCACTACTTAAGGACAGGAAAAAGATGATATGGTGGTATACACGCACAATGGAGTGCAATTCAGCAATAATGAGATGAAAGTTACCATTTATAACAAATGGGAAAAGCTCCAGGGGATTATAAGCAGCAAAATAAGTCAGAAAGATAAGACAAACTAAGGACATTTTCACAAGTGTGGAACAAAATAAAGAATCAAGCAAATGACTGATACAGCAAAATAATTACAGCTGGACACAACAAGCAAATCATGTTTCAAAAGGATTAAATAACAAAACCCAGCCACATTAAGCAAACAAAAACCCAAAAAAAATCATCCACTCCATGAAAAGCCCTAGAAACTATAGGAAAAACACCAACTCTACTTAAAGGTAAGTGAAACAAGTATAACTCAAGAAAAATTATCTATAAGATAAACTCTACAGAATGGGGGTGGGATGGGTGTGAGAGGGTGATGAGAAAAACTTGAAATATCAAGATTAATAAAATACTATCATATTTACATAATTTATACATGTATCATTGATATGTAGGTTCATGAAAAATCACATTCAAGACTGTTTTTATTCAAAAAAGCTCAGAAGACTGCATACTAGACAAATGCGCTCTTTCAGATACAAATATGCAAACTGACTCTGAGAACATGAGCATTACTTTTAATAACTGACATTCAAAAATTTGCAGGGCCCTCCCTGGTGGCACAACAGGTTAAAGCACAGCATTAAGAAAGCAGATAGCCTCAGCCACTGCAGCACGAGTTTGATCCCCAGCCAGGAAGCTGGCACACATGGCACAACAGACCTCTCCTGTCTTACCCACTGCTCCCTTCAGTAGTGTACTTTGCTGATCTGCCTGTTCTGCTCCCCACTCTGTCATTGGTGAATCATCTCACTGCCCCTGCACCTTTGGCCTGTACCCCAGTTCTATGTGCATAAATAAATCTTTAAAAAAAATTATTTACAAAGGGAGCTATCCTCCCCTTTCCATTAGTAGATCTAGGCTTCAAACAGGCTGACCTAACAGTTGAGGGCTTTTGAAAAGTTTGGTAAAGGGTTTCTTCTCCACCCTGGTTTAGCAAACGTAATGGGACATTATGATCATAAAGGCCCAGAATTTGGTCTGTAGAGAAAGAACTCCAAGAGGACCATTACAGACAAGTCTCCTGTCATTTTCATGGGGCTTAAAAGATGAACTAAGAAATCCCTAACCACTTTTGGGTAGCAAAAACAGAAAACAAAATATTCTTCAGTCTTCTCAGAAGGGCCAACAGCTTGCCTAAACATTACAAGTAAATGACTTAATATCTTTTTATCATACATACTTATCCTAAGTCATATTTCAGTAACCAGACTTTAGCCCAAATGAGTCACAAGGAAGTAACTTTATCTAAGAAGTTATATCATCCAGGAAGAAAACTAAGGATAAACACTCTGGAAACACAAGAACATGAAAACTGCGGGAAATGGTGAACACATGAATAGAGATAGGGAAGAAGAAAGGGAAAAGCTAGCAAGCAGACACGTAGGAACAAATGCCAGAAAAGACAAAAACTTTTTCTAACTTAGAAATCTGATTTTCAAATTGAGTATTTCAAAAATGAACTAACGGGGGACTATTTGGGGAGTAAATTAGGGAGTAGAATATTAAGTTCAAGAAATATCTCAAATTACAGAGTAGGACAAAGGAGATGTAAATCATACACAAAAAAATTTTAGTGGGCCCCTCCCTGGTGGCACAGTGGGTTAAAGCACAGCACTAAGAAACTAAAGCCACTTCAGCATGAGTTCGATCCCCGCCTGCCCCAGTGGTGATCCACATGGCGTGGCAGACCTCTCCTGACCGGCCCGCTGTTCCCCCATCAGTGTATTTCATCTATCTGCCTGTTCTGCTCCCCACTCTGTCTCTGGTGAATCCTCTCACTGCCCCTCTGGCCTGTACCCCAGTTCTGTATGCATAAATATTTTCAAAAAAAAAAAAAATTTAGTGAACTGATGGATCCGAGACAAAGTGACTGCTGGAAATGTGAGAAAGAACAAATGGAAGAGTGTAAACTAGATATTAAATTCTTAAAATCTTTGATAGCCCTCCCTGCAGAGAAAAGGTTTGCTTTTCCTTAAGAGTTAGCTGGACATGACTTGCTCCTTAGTGCAGGAAAAGTAGGGGGGAAAAGTTACATTGAAGAAATCAAAATGATACAATTTTAACTAATAATCAGTATTACCATATTATGCATTATGATGAGATCAGAAGGATACATCAATCTACGTGTAGTCTTCTCCAAAACCTGTTTACACCTCATTCTAACCACAAGTAAGCAGTGGCAAACAAAAATTGAGGAACCTTTTGAAACACCTAACCAGTACTCTTCAAAAATGTTAAAACAATGAGAGACATAAGGGGTATAAGGAGACATGACAAACTGAGAGAATCTAGAAGTCTGTAGTTCAGTATAGTGCCAATGTCACTATCTTTGTGACAAAGAGTATAAGGAGACATGACAAACTGAGGAAATCTAGAAGTCTATAGTTCAAGTATATAGTGCCAATGTCACTATCTTTAGGACTCCACATTCCACATGTGATATGTCTAAATGAGTTCATGTTGTCAAAAAGGGCAGAATTTCTTTTTTTCTACGAATTGTATTCCAATATCTATATGTAAGACATTTTCCTTATTCATTCATATCAAAGGACACTTAAGTTGTTTTCAAGTCTTGGTACTGTAAACAGTAATAAAATGAAAACAGGGTCCATTAATGTTTCTTTATTTCTTTGGATAAGTGTACTATGATTACATAACATAAATATTGGGGGAAACTAAATAAAGGAAATACATAAACATCGTGCATTACCTCTGCGACATTTCTGTAGTTCTAAAATTATCTCAACATAATGTTTTTAAAAACTCATATTAAAAGTTAGAAAAATACAAGTCCCAAATATTATATTGCTGCAGAAATACAAAGTTAGTTTTACATAGTATTGTTATTTTAATGGCTGTCCTGCTTCTCCTTTTGCTTGTACAGATAAAATTATTACATTCTGCCCCAAAAATCAAGACCAGTGAAATAGCAGATTGTAATTTAAAAAAAGGGGGAGTGAGGGTGAGCAGATGCACAATAAATGAAAGTGAAATGTATATTTAGATTCAATTCTTTAGGAAAATTAGTGATTTACCAGGAGTAAGATCTGCTGAGGCTGACCAATGAAACTGGAAAAATTCATTGCTATAGAGCTGAACAAGGATAGCAACAGATGGATAAAACCCCCAGCTGTTTAAAAGCCTGTGCATTTGTTCAGAACCATTAAAGTGTTACATTACTGAGAAAAGCTTCTGACATACTCTGTTCCAACAACATGATGGATCCTTCTGCATTAAGAAAGTGAATGACAAAGAATTTCAAAAAATAGACCAATTCTGAACTATAAAAAAAATTAAAACCAAAAATTCACCAAGGGATAGCCAAGATGTATACTAGCAAAACTCTCAGAAAAAAAAAAAAACTGACTTATCTGGTACTTGATACAAAAGCATTTAAAGTCATTCAAAGGAATCACACATAGACAACTCTATTTTGTAATCAGATCTTGTAATCTTTACAATAAAATGAAAATAATGAATTTATTTTCCAGACTACCATTCACACGTGGAATTATCCAATAATAGTATTTTACATCCAAGTTTTTAAAATTACGTATCATATAGTCGTTTTCCATTTCCTTATGTCATTTCAAATGCAAAAGAAAACATGTTAATACTTAATATCAAGTGTATAAGGCAAGAGTGAAAACCTTTCCATACTGAATTTTCTGCCAAGAGACAGTAAAAACAATTTTACTCACAAGTTAGAATGGAAAGTCAGTAAACTTCCAAATTAAGAAATACATGTCAAAATTTTTAAATAAATTATTAACAGGAAAGATAATTCAAGTTACTTCAATATTTTGTTTTCACTTAAACATGTATTTTAAGTAATCTAGCATTTGCTTTAGAAAAATAAATTCAATGATAACTATTCATATTACAAAGCGTATTAAAGACAGTAT